TCCGACGAGCAGGTGCCACAGCTGTCAGGCGGTTTGCGGACACTCCGGACAAAATGGAAGTGTCCCCTCGCAGAGAGGTCCTGCGGGCGAGGCTATCTAATGGGTCTCTCGAGTCTGGCGGGAAGGAAAAAGACAAGGGAACGCGCACCAGTAACGTTCTTACCCTTCCCTATTCTATCTTCTCAGAAAAGTACCATGCCTATGTATGTCACGTTTCTCGGTTATGTTGGATTCTGGAAATGCATAGGTAACCTATGGAGCTCTAACTCCCTTTTGTTGATTTGCCGAGACCAATGAAAAAAAAACAATGTCAGACATAAGGTACCCACTAAAATTTGTAAACGGACTTTGTTGTTTGTATGCAGCCACTTTTGTGACTGGACAGGTTTGTGTCGCGAAAAACAACAGTTTCTATTAAAAGCGTTCCGCTGACTATATCAAGCCGTCCGATAGTGCTAAGGTTTTGATAATGTTATGGACAGAAATTGGAATGGGATGAGCTACTTGGTTTTCAATCGACTGTGTAAGTAGATATATCTGGTGTAAAAGCCTCTGTCAAATTTACGAATTGATGCAGAAAGGGTCAGAAATACGAATTTGGACCTACTAGCTCAGTTACGTAGTTGGATAACTGCCTCCTTCTCCCTCCCTGTTGCGCCGTCACTGACTACACTTACAACGAAAGGGTCCCAGCAGGCATGCAGGGGATCATGCTGACAGAAAGGACGCCCAGCCTGAACGTAAATGAGACGCACAGGCCTCGTGACCGTATAGAACTCGTGGAGTTCCCTCGTGACCGTGTAGAACTCATGGAGTTCCCTGGATGTGAACTAGAGATGTCCCGCGCATTGGACGAGGATTTTTCGCTTGTTTGCCTCATGGCTACCAGGCACCTCTTTCCTTTTGATTTGATTTCCTTATGCTCTTCTTTCTCTTTTTTACAAACAAGTGGGGGATGCTACAAAGGAGTGGGAGATGAGTCGGAAGCGTATTATTGCCGTAGTCTTTAGTCCTTTTAGCTTTCACCGCTGACACTTTATATTTTTCTCTAATCTTTTGACTTGCTACATTGGACTTTTACCTTTTATCTTCAAGCATTGGACTTTTGCCACTCATTTGGATTGTTTGTCCTTCGACTTTTTGCCTGTTGACTTGAATTCATGTGACGTTTATCCCCTTTGACCTTTTTACCCATTTAACTTGTACATTTTTGGCTTTTTGTCCTTTTGACTTTTTGACTCTTCGCCTTTTTGACATTTGGCTTTTGTCCTGTTGCACTTCTTGCTCGGACAGGCTCTGACGTCACACCGGGCTCCCCACTGCGTCATCAATCCAGTTAGAGCCGGCTGCAGAGGGCGGCGCCCGCTTTACGGCGGCGGAAGCCTCGCAGGCCAACGTCTGCTGACGCTGGCGAACAGTTGATGGGGCGCGTGACGTACCACGGAGCACGTAGGTAGTGAGCCCTTTGTTCCGCCGTGTCTTGGGTGTCACCTGTGCCATGATGCAGGCTGGTGCTCGGCTGTTCGTCACTGACGGTACTGCGGTGATGGTGGTCTGACCTTGACCGGACCAGGTCCCTGGTAGACAGCCTGGTGCGCCAGCTGCCCCCGGACCGTGACGTCACACTCGAAGTACGTGGAAGGTGGATGTCGCGCCCGCTCTCCTCCGTGTCGACGGATGGAGCGAACTGAGCGTTCGTCGCTCTGCAAATGAAATAGTTGATTATGCGCACCGGGTCACTCATCGGAGGCTGGAATTGTCGCGCAAAGTCTGGTCCGACGGCTAAGCTCCGAGTCTGCTTGCTAAGCACTGAATGTACATTAAAGTGCATTGCACCGTATCCTTGTCGGGGACATTTCAACCGGCACTGGTTGTGTGAAACATTCCACCAATGACAGGTATTTTTGAGCCCGCTATTTTGACACCCACCGCCCTCTGACCCTCAAGATGTTGGATCGTTGTTGGTAACATCATGTACCGTTGCATCGCCTGGTTGACCGTGTTACCTTCCATTGTTACACTGCACGTCCGGCGGTCACTTGTTCATGTGGCGCCGGGTGCTACGGTAAGAAGACAGAGGCACGATCCAGTGCTGCGGTGGACCGGTGTTCGTGCGAGGCAGCCATAAGTATCACACAGGCCAGAGTACGGCGACCCGACTTCGGTCAGGTACGCCGCCACCGTCCGACACGCCACGGCCACGTGCCACCCCCCCCCCCCCCCCCCCCTCACCGACGCTCGTCCTCCTCTGCCGACGCCCGGTGACGCCACTTGCCTGCACGTGCTGCCGCCAGCTCGCGCGGTACGGCCGTGCTGTGTCGGCACGTGCTGCAGCTAGCTGGGGAGAGGAGTGCTGAGCAGCGTTGTCGTGCAGCCGGAGCTGTGCGGCAGTTAGTTGCTGACAGGCGGCTTGCTGGCAAGGTCTAACTGCACCCCAGTCGGCCGCCAGCAGCACTGTGCCACCCCTGGATGGCGGGTGAGCCTGTGGCTGGCCAGTGCTTGGTCTGGACGCTCGTGTCACCGGCCCGTCTGCAGGCAATGGACTGCTGTCGCCTGTGCTGGCCTGCGGGCCGCCCGTCGGTCGCACGGGCACGGGAAGCGTGGCGGACAAGCCGGAGCTGTGATGACCGCCACATCACCGAGCACCGCACACCTCCATCCCGTCCCACCGCCGGCTCTCCGGACGCCACTGCTGCAGCCGTCGCACACATCTGACAATGCGTGCAGTGACTGCCTACATGGCGACAGTGCACACACGACAACGCTGGAGCAGCAGCGGGACGAGCCCGAGATCCGCAGCGCGTAACTAGGCTGTTACCCTCCCCGAGGCTGTTGACCAATGGCCGTCCTGCTACGGATCGTCGACGCTCTGCTGTAGTCTCATTGGCTGAATTTTCAAAGAGCCCGCTGTCAGGCTTGATTTCATTGGTTTATTGTTGATATCAGGTCTCCTATTGGCTGATTTTAGAAACTTGGGACGATTCCAGCGCGCGTTTTGTAGCGGCGGTCCGTGGGTCGCGGTCTTATCTTGGCGGTCAAGGCACAGTGCGTCCTATGCCGTGGGAGATAATAACGCCCCCCAACACAAGTGTAGCTTTTTCGCCCTGAATGTGCGCGAGCAAAGTAGTACGATCAGTCGCTTGCTTTTTTATTCCGGTAATATGCTACACGCCGAACTATTTGAAGTTGCATCTACATGGCCAACACAGATATTGATGGTTTTACCGCATACTCACTGTCACTGTCTCTTTCTGTCGTATGGAGGACTCGCCGTCTCATTACATATCCTTAGCTATAGCGCTGCCCCTACTCCGATAGAAATTACTGAGTTTAGATGGTGCGCTTTAGAGATTTTGAGGTTCTCAATAATTGCGTGGCCCGCAATCTAAGTTTGAAAACCCCATCCTCGCAAGAAAATTTCCCAGGAAAGGCCGGCTTACACCCGGAAGCCCGGCTTCAATTATCTGACGCGTTTTCGTTGTACTCAGTATTCCATGTGACGAACTCGTGCATGATGAAGTATTTAACGTGAATTATATGTCACTTAGTAGACTTCAGTATTAGCCATAAAATTACGGCCATTACTAGCATACACACGCTCATCCAGCCATAACTGTTCTCCTTCTGACTTCAGACACCCTCTGGCTTATACGCAAAGCGACACTTTCTCCGCGCCAAAAATGTGTTGCATGAAGTGGGCCAAAATGCGACCGTTACTATTAGCTCCAGTTCCAAACCTGGATCACCTTTGTCCATGATGTGCTATGTAGCAACGCGCCTAGACAATGCATCGATCAGTTCTGTTGTGAAAAATGACCACGAGGGTGAACGCTGATGCCTGATTTAGCAACGTTTACCCAATCAAGTTTACCAAGATTACATCATCGACAAGCCGTTCGTTCATTTATCGGACGTGCCGAAACGTCCGAAAAAATGTCCCATTCAAATAAGCACTGCCATCACGCACATTTTCAAATCACCACGGGGTTAAATAGCCTGAACTGCGCAGTCACTTACTAACGAACAAAACCGCTCGCATGTTCAACCACAATATCGGTTACATTGCAGAGCACCTAATAGATGGTGTGTGGACTACCGAATACTGGCTCTCAGGGTGTCTTTTGCGCGATGAATTACCAACAATGCTGCAAAGAGTAATATTCGTTCTAAAACGGGCAGGTAAGGTGGATGGAGAATCCTGTTTTGCCGCCACATTTTCCCTCAAGCTTTTAGACATTTAGACAAGTCCCTCACGCACACATCAAAGCCTACTTGTAGTGAATAAGTGCACCTTAAGCCGGCCAGTGAGTTGCTGCATATTGGGTGACCTCTTGGCTTGTCAAGCGTGGTGTATGTACTGTTCATGAGCGCTGACGACAGGCCTGCCTTGTTACGGTCTGCCGTCCCGTTCGGGCCGTAACAAGTTGGCGTCGCCTGAGTGAGGCAAACTTCTGCAACATTGGCCATCGACAAACACGCCCCTAAAATGATCCTTTGCATACTTCTGTGCATCAGCGAACGGGTTGTGCACCATACGTCGCGCCCCACAGTGGGCTTCCCCGTTTCATGGCGCGGGCATTCTACTCTTGTTCCAGATAATGAACAGCGAAGGAGGCTGGCGGCGGCGGCGACTGCGGTGATGCATTTTGAGGTATCGCTGCCGGGCCGCTGCAGTGGGGCATCAAGCGGCATCAAGTATGGCGAGCAGCCGACCAAGCCGTGGCGGCGGCCCGGCTGCCCGCCGCTGTCGCCTGCCGGCCGCCGGCCTGATCCCGCTGACAGCAGTGGAGCAATCGGATCCGGCGGAGAACCCCCGCGCATCAGTGCCACTGGTGCCGGTCGGGCCAGGACGGGCTGATTCGGAGCGCGGTGTCGCTGGTGGAGGCGGCCTCGCTCTCGGCCAAGACGTGCGCCTCGTGCCGTATGCTGACCGACTTTGTGCAGTTGAAGGACGGCGGACGTCGCGACACGGCACGGCGCAAACAGTGAGGTCGGCCAGGCTACACCGTTGCTGAGTGTGCAGTAGCTGGTCGGTAGACGTAGTGCGGGCGCGGGATAACCCGGACGAGCTGCACCAGTGCCTGACGGGCCCGGGAGCCACCAGTTGGTCGGTATCGGCGATCGATGCCGGGCCGTCGGCCGCGCCAGGGCCAGGCGGCGGCCGCGTCGGCGCCGGGCGGATCCTCAGCTTCGATGGTCGATCGAGTGATCGGGGACATGCATTCGGCAGCTCAGTCAAGACAATCAGCCGACTAGCTTCTAAAGTTAAGCTCTATCGCCACTCGGTGCTAGACCCCTCCAAACACGGATATTCCCAATGGCCGTATTGTCTCAACCGTGAAGGCAATGCGACGAATGAGGCGGGGGTATTGCTCGGCGTTCCTGTGATGTCACACATTTCAAGGAGACATCAAAATGGGCGGCGCGAAATAGGTAGGGTAAGGTCACGTGAGTCAAACTTGGAAACAAAAATATTTCAACTCTTTAAAAGGACATGGCTGTTAACTGTATGGGGTGACCTTGAAACAGGCTCTCAGCTAAAACAACCGTACAGCTGTGTAATAGCTATTTAGGTTAAAGCCGTAACAACGAAGTTGTAACGGTTTAAAACGCAATCTTTAAAGTTGTTAATTCTCAATGCACACTTGCAATGAAAACGAGGCGTTCCGGTACAAACTATACAGCCCCACGCCGAGTTTATTGCCTTCATATCTTAGAATTACTTGACACTTGGCATACCAGGTCATCTTAATGTGACGATGATTTTTTTAGTTTGAACCGAGTAATGTCATATGGTCAACATGAAGATGTCGTGGACCTTAAAATATCGAAGCATAAAAATCAGCAAACCAGAGGAGCCGATTGTGATCCCATCCCGTGGATGCGATGTGAGACGAGGATGTGATCGGGGAGGGTACGACAAGGAAAAGAGTGATCAACGCAAAGCGAGTACATCAGAGAAGAACTGGTGCCAACTAACGCCATCACGCTGACATGCAAGGTGCCTGTACTACCTGAGCGGGTGTGGGTGGGGTGGAGGTCCACCCCGGTCCGCTGCTGGGGTGGAGTCCACCCCGTCCGCTGCTGGGGTGGAGGTCCACCCCGGTCCGCTGCTGGGATGGAGCTCCACCCCGGTCCGCTGCTGGGGTGGAGCTTCCATCACCCCGGCCCGCTGCTGGGGTGGAGCCTTCATCACCCCGGTCCGGTCCTGGGGTGGAGCTTCATTGCCCCGGTCCGCTGCTGGCTGGGATGGAGCTTCATTGCCCCGGTCCGCTGCTGGGGTGGAGCCTCTCACCCCGAGTCCGCTGCTGGGATGGAGCCTTCATCACCCCGGTCCGCTGCTGGGGTGGAGCCTCATCACCCCGGGCCCGCTGCTGAGGTGGAGCTTCATCACCCTGGTCCGCTGCTGGGGTGGAGCCTCATCACCCCGGCCCGCTGCTGAGGTGGAGCTTCATCACCCTGGTCCGCTGCTGGGGTGGAGCCTCATCACCCCGGTCCGCTGCTGGGGTGGAGCCTCATCACCCCGGCCCGCTGCTGGGGTGGAGCTCCACCCCGGCCCGCTGCTGGGGTGGAGCCTCATCACCCCGGCCCGCTGCTGGGGTGGAGCCTCATCACCCCGGCCGCTGCTGGGGTGGAGCTCCACCTCGGCCCGCTGAGACGCCCCATACCCGATGCGCATAGACGTCGCGTGCGTCTATACACCGACCACAGTGACTGGACGTTACATACAACGTACTATGTGCCAGATGTGGTAGCTCCCAAAACCTTGTTTCGGCATTCATTTCCATCTACATTCGCTACAGTGGAAAATCACACAATGCCACAATGGAAGACATCACACAAGATCCGCCACACACAATCCTTCGACGCGTTTGTCCTTGCCATGTATTCAGTTCCTCCGCCAGCACAGTAGTGGTGGCGTGACGTCACCGGCCCCAGAAGCCGGGCTGTGCCCAGGGCGGCGGCGGGCTGTTGCCTGGGGCCGCCGGTAGGTGGCACGCCGATCGGCGGCGGCGGCCGCGAGAAAGATGGCGGCGGTTGACCGAAAGGGCCCGGCGGAGGCACGTTGAACGCCGCGGGCGGCGGCGGCGGCGCGGTGTGGAAAGCTGGTGGCGGCCAGGTGGGTGGCGGCGTCGCACACCACGACTGTGGCGGGCCGCCGCTGGAGGGCGGCACAATTCGCGGTTTAATGTGGCGTCTGGCGGATCAAAATGCTCACCAACCGACGCCATGCTGGACGGGGAGGTGTGAAACGCACTGCGATCAGCCCAATAAAACGGAAACATTGAATAAGAACTATTGTTTACGGTGTCCATTCACAAAAGACAATTAAGTGGTGCATACCTCTATGAGTTTGTCACGAAAATACATCCCTTACGGAGAAAACGATACAGCGGGACATTCCAAAATCCAGACGCTAGACGCAGATGAACTAGCTTAGAGCTCGCTTAAATTTAATCCGTGGGAAAGCATCACTACATCCATGAACTGTACGATTCTTCAATGCGTACGCTTCAGCACCCTTGACCACACCAGACATGGCCCACGAGCAGAAGAGCGCTGCCCAACACAAATATCAACACCAAAGGGCCACGAGAACACGCACTGACATCAACACCGACAAAACACGAAACAAAACAAAAACAGGAGGACGCATTCACGCACCTGGATGGGGGCCGGTGACCGTAGAAAGGGTTGCGGGGCGGTGCCGGCATCCAGGGCGGGCGCGGCTGCGGCTGACCCCGACCGCGACCTCGACCCCGCGCGGGTCGGGGCGGCCCACCCTCCGACGATGACGCCGCCGCGGCCGGGGGCGCACCTCCCTGCAACTGATGTCATACGATGGAGGCTTTTCAATTGGTTAGGGTGCCTGCGGCGCACTAGCCAGCTCAGCCATCGAGGCGGGTCAGTCTGCCCTCATGCTGGCGGCAGCGACAGCTGCACACCGAACTTTTCGCCGCCACTAATGCCTGTGTGGATTATGAAACTGATGTGCACTCTATAAAATCAACTGTTTCTGGAGAGTCCAAGAGCATATCCATCCAGCAATGCTTGCACTAAGACTGTCGGAAAACAACTACCCCCATTCGCACAACATGATACACGTGATACGGCTGTGTGTACTGTCACTGCGGCGCATGTGTTGGGGGGCACATCATCTTCGCCTTCAGAGGCGCCCAGCGCTTCAGGCGTCAAGAGGTGAACTTCACAGCTGAACGACACAAACACTTTTAGAGGCGCCCAGCTAAAAACGCGCACGTGAGTTTTACGTCACAGTTTCTTCTTCTTTTTTGACAGCTACGCGTGACAGTCCTGGGAGCTCAACGCCAGATAACTCAACTTGGAACGACGTTTCAAGCATCCACATACGCAGGCGGAGAGCAAACCCCGCCTGCCTCCCGATTGACTGAATCGATAGATGAGCGAACTGCTTAACCGGTGATTCAAATGCCACGGACACGCGACTAGTCAGGCCGGCACGGCAGTACCGGGCACGAACAGCCCCGACGGGGGAGGGGGAGGAGGCGGACAGCCAGACTCCTGCTTGCCGCGGTCATAGCTCTGCGCTGTGCCAGGTGGGAGCAGAACATCTCACTCAGTACCGAGGCCGTGTGCCGAGTCACCGAATCACCGAGTATAAGTCAGGACGAATGAGATCGCATCCACTCTTTCCAAGTCACGCTAAGGAGTTACTGGAAATCCAAGGATTTACTGGAAGTGAGTGTTTCAGCAGAGGGGGGGGGGGAGAGGGGCTCTTGTCATGCCTCTGCGCCCAGCAGCAAAGCGTCACATTACAACGTACCGCGGGTAATTTCACTGACCCACCCGTCATCTTCCACTCGGCACCTAAAACACGCACAGATCACAAATCTGCGAGTCCACCAAAGTATCCGGGTCCCAGCTGTCCCAGCAGTCCTAGCGGCGCCATCGGTCCCATCGGCTCCATCGGTCCAAGCGGCCCCATCGGTCCCATCGGTCCCGGCGGCCCCATCGGTCCCATCGGTCCCGGCGGGTATCGCCGTCACGTGCACGCTCACCGGCCGCTTCCTGGCCTGGCGCCGGTGCGCCCGCTCCTCCTCGTCGTCGGAGAAGTCGCGGCAGTTCTCCGGCGGCTCATTGCAGTCCCACCAGCTGGCGTCCGAGCCCCGCAACCTGCGCAGAGTGCGCCGGGTCGCCGGAGGTCACACAAAGGTCGGCCTGGATCACGCTCGACAGACGGCTGTCGGCGAGCGGCGCCGGGCCACACGCGTCCGGGTCCCGACAAAAACGCCGCCAGTGTGTGAAGACCCCGTACAGACTGAGCTCAAGCAGCGAGTATGCCGACGCACTTGCGCAACGGAATTTCTCGCTGTTTTCCGACATTTTAAGGTGATATGCTGAGAAAATACCACGCATCGGTATACAAAGAGAAGCGGTGTAAGTCTTGATCATTTGAGGTTACTGCCATGCCCAAGTGTGAGCGGAGAGAGGGTAAAATCCGGGCGAAATATGTCATTGGTACATTTCATGGATGAGCTTATTCATTTGTCCACGCATAGCAGTATCGTGTTGGATTGTAACGCTGCACCCCTCAGCAGGCGACTGGGGCTAAACGACGTCATCACATCACTGAGACATAATTACGTAATTCGTCCACTGGATTAGCAAGGAACATACGCCACGTAGATGAGACTGGGGTTTAAACGATGTCATCACATCACTGAGACATAATCACGTAAGTTGTTCATTGCATTAGCGAGGAGCATAAGTCATATAGATAAGACCGTAGTAATAGCCTTATTCCTCGGAGAAAAACAAGGACTATGGAGACAGTTAGGTTCATAGTTTAGCATTATGACTTCATCGAAACAATAGAAGTGGCATATATGCACAGCCTCAGACATACAAAGAGCAAATCACACATTCCAAGGCAGTGCTCGTGGCGGGCAACATCACTTGTTTAAATCAAAGTCCAACCGCAACCACGCATTTTGAAAACGGTGCCCTGGGTGAGCTGACTGAGACTGACTGAGACTGACGCGCTGCCGTCAACAGCGCAAGCGGCATATATTAACGACCCGAGAAATACCAACAGCAAACCCGACGTTCCGACGCAACGCTCATGGTTACAAGCAACAACGTTTCTTTAAATGAAAGTTCATCGCACCCTCAAATTTGAAAATTGTGCCCCGGGTGAGGATCGAACTCACGGCCTTCAGATTATGAGACTGACGCGCTGCCTACTGCGCTAGGGCTGGGGAACGTTCGACTGGGAACCGGGGGGAACTTCACTCAGCGCGGGGAACTCGAGAGGAAGAGAATATAGGCGGCCGAGTGACGGAAAGGAGCTTTTCATTGGAATACTGACGCCTCCAGGAGACCGTTGTGTTATTGACGTCCTCTGGTATGCAGCAGTTTTCTCAATACGGAATAGTTCCCCAGCGGTTTAGCCTCTTGTCATCGAAATTGCGTCGTCGAAGTCTCCAAATTTGGCTACGTTTCTATGCAAAATGCAGTCCCCCCACCAATCAGCGGCCGGCTTTGGTCACGCGAGGTGACGGGCCTCTCCAGGAAACGGTAGACCTCTATGACCCTCAAGCCGTGATCTGAAGATTGCTGGGTCTTACCGGTAGATCTTGGAATAATGCTATGGGCCTACAAAGGCAAACTGAAGTTTCATCTTCAGAAAACGCACTTCTACCGTCCCCTGACGTCACGCCGATGTGTGCCGTTTGGCTGCCGTTCGTGGTACAATTGTACCCGACGGCAACAGCGATGGCCTTTGTGCCTTGCGTTTGTTCAGAGGCATTGTTGTTTACGCAGCCATTGTTCGCGCGTCGCCGCCGGCTTTGTCGTGATCAAGGGTAGTGATTGTGGTGTGCATTTGTGGTAAGTGAGCTGGCGAGGGCGTGCGTGTATATACATGTGTGATGTTCTGTTGTTGCTGAAACGTTCTGCTGACTTTCGCAGCAAGGCGTGATTTCATGATGTTCCCTGATTCCCCTCATCCCAGCAAAAAAGGCGCCTAGGTGTGTAGGTACCAAGGCACATAGTTGATGCATATCATCAAAGGGCAAAGGCAAGGGTGTTTCATTTGTGTTCTCGTGAGGGACCCAGCCTCCTCCACGTTGAGATGTCCACAAACCCTAATGTTTTGATTTGAGCGCCTGAGTAGGCAACGTGCGTGCAAAGTTTACGTCCGTAATGAATCATTTCTTGGTGATTGCTGCCACACTGCAAAAATATTTTTGCGTAGTCATCAAAAGATACGTAGTTTAAATTTACCGTAAAAGAAAAAAGTGAGTGCATATCTACCTTTTGCTACTTGCTCCTTTCTTTGTTCAGCGGCATTGTTTACGTTGCCTTTGTTCGCGTCTCGCCGCTGCCTTTGTTCGCGTGTCGCCGTCGCCTTTGTTTGCGTGTCGCCGTCCCCTTTGCCGGGATCAGGGGTAGCGATTGAGGGGTGCAATCGTGGTACGTAAGCTGGCGACCCGACCCGACTCAATCCGACCCGATCCGATCCGATCCGATTCTATCCGATCCGATCCGCTCCGACCCGACCCGACCTGACCTGATCCGACCCGATTCAATACGACCCTTGATCTGATCTGACCCGACCCGGTGGATCGATAGGCTTTAGTCATGTTTTGCAGGTTTGGATATGAAAAGGAAGTGAGCATATTTGATAGTCAGGCATATTAAACTATAATTTTCATTGTCAGTCAACCGATTAAAACCTATGTTTTGAATTAAGGTGTCGAGATGTGATATGGTTATGCTAGGTGTACTGGGGGAATAACACAGTGTCTGCAATCAAAGGACGAAGAATGACTAAAACGAAGAGCCATAAGGCCATTGGTGATGCGGTTTGGCTGGCAAGGCTGCGGCTGTTTGCCAGCAGAGGAGTGTGGGCGGCGGACATGGGCATCAGACCTGGCCCCAAGCAGTCAAGGACAGTCCGTGACCTGTACCTCAAGGTAAGTGCTGTATTAGCGTACATCACGCTTGCATAAGCGTGCAGGTATTAACCACGAATGCGTTATCGGTGATGTCCGACAATTACAGCGTTCGGGATGGTTCAATTCGTTAGGTCTCGAGCTGAAGTAGACGTAAAATAATGTATTATGCGAAAAGGAAGTTTGCAAGAAAAACGGTGACGCCTTTTGATACTTTTGGGTAACGAATATTTCAAGCCTTTCTGGCGGTTGTATAACATTCCAAATCGAATAGTTTAGATAGCACACATATTTGTCGACACGTATCAGCTGACCCTGTTTAACCTCTGGAGGTCAAACCTCTCTGTGCCGTACACATATCCTTTCCGTAGGTTGCCAGCGCACGTTTGGCTATGTATGTGACACTATTTCGTGAAAATCGAAATGGTCGTCGATTTCTGCTGAATATGAAGATCAAACTACTTTTACTTCACGCACATAAGCGCACTTACAATTTGTGATGCCTGCCCTGACAACAAGAGTAGCAAGCTGTCAGTCTTTTGCTGAAGGTTGGGATTTCAGAAATGTATGTGCCAGCAAATTAGTCATGGTTCTGCTGCATTTTGTGATAATTTTTGTGAGCAACTGTGCCATATTTAAGCCAAATTTATGTTTCAGGTCCAGCGTTGCCCTCGCCAGGGTGGTGGGACACAGGCTATGCTGTCCTTTGCTGGAAGGTCTGCCCTTAGCCGAGGCTGTCAGTGTGGCCTGCATAAGGTAAAGATGGGCGTATTATGGTGCCACTTTAGTAGACAATTGATCTTTTTGCTAACGTGGTTACCAGTAATCTTACACAATTTCAACGAAACGTACCTGTAAGCATAATAAGTTATGTCAGCAATGTGCCTGTACTATTCTTCCTGACTTGCCTTTTCTGACATCGATGATCATCAAAGATTACACAGAATTGACAGATGTTGGTACGGGGGTGGCGCAGGGTGGAGGTGGCTTGGGGTGCGGTTGGGGTAGGGTGGGGTGGGGGGGGGGGGGAGGCAGTTGCCGCCTGTCGGTAGGCAGGGAGAAGGATATATGTTTGCCCCTCCCCAAATTTTGTGATTCCAAATCGAATCCCCCTCTTGCCCCAAGGAAGACTGCAAGTTACGTCAATTACCAAACTTTCGATCGGGTAACCCAAATGGATGTGCTAGATGTTACCAAATCCGGTCGAGATTACTCTTCTGCATCAAACTTTTCACAAGTTGGTTTCGAGGAGGTATTTTTCTAGCGCGACAGGCAGCCGTCATGAACTAGGAGGTCCCCGAACTAGAAGGCCCACGTTTTGAACGAGGAGGCCCGTTTTGAACTAGGAGACCTCATTTTCAACCAGGAGGCCTCCGTTATGAACTAGTTGGCCCCCATTAAGAAGAAGCTGAATGGGAGGCTCCGTTGTGAATTAAGAGGCTTCGTTATTAACTAAGAGGCCCCATTATAAAGTAGAATGTCCATATTATGAGCAAGGAGGCTCTCGTTATGAACTAGAAGGCCAACGTTATGGACTAGGAAGTCCCCGATATGAGTTAGGAGACCCCCGTTATGCGCTTGTGTAACCCCGTTATGAACTAGGAAGCCCCCTTTTGAACTAAGAAACACGCTTATGAGCTAGCTGTCTCTGCGTGTGAGGGTATGAACACGTATTTCTGGGTAGGAGGGTAGGCCCGATCCTTTCAATTTTCAATGTAGCGGGAGTGAGTGAATGGGCGTGACGTGCCATGCCTTTGCGTGCTTTCCAAGGTAGCAGGTGTGGGTGTGACATGTCATGTACTGTTTGTCAAAGGCCACGGTCACCTTAGCCCATGAAAAAGTCACAGCTATGACAGTGTTTGCAGCAGGTATTGAAGTGCGTAACCACCACACTAATGTTACCACTTTTGTTTCTAGGCAAACGCATCTTCATCGATACCTTCGTCACATTTCCTACCACGTTATCCTGCCATGGCAATGGTGTCCCTGCAAAAGTGCATGCTTTGCAATACGTAATCCTGGTTCCTGGATGCTTGATTGCTTTGAGGGTGTGCGGGAGATGGTTTTCTGCTGGCAATATACATGGCTAATTTGACGTGATGGGCTGCCTGGCACATGGTGTGATTGGTAACACTGTCCTGTTAATGACATGCTTGGTGACTGGCACACGAAGCACGGACTTCGATGTTGTTTTTTCCTTATGTTGTTGCCATGTGCTGAACCGCGTTACAGGCATTGACGCCATGACATGGTGTAACAAACTTGCAAAGATCGTGGAATGCTACATTCTAAAGGTTAAGGGTGGTTTTGAAGGCAAAGTTTTTATACTTGGCCGTATTGCTTAGCCATACTCGCTGTACCTGGTTGTACCTGGTTGTACCGGGCTAAACCCGTCCCATACCGGGTAGCCAGAGCTCGTCACGACGGGACACAGTAGTTCTGATCTTTCTCCTAATTATCCTTTTACCGGACGAACGTAATACTACATGAACCTTGTATATTACGAAATTTTGACGGTACGAACTTAATGTCCATGAGATTCCATGCCTCAGCACGGTTCAGCATATGGTGGTTTGTGTCTACCGAAGCACCATGTTGGTTTTGCTTGGCTGGCTGCATTTGCCTAGAAAGGAATAACGTGCTACTTGCGCGCCTGGTCACGATGTAAACTGTGCACAATGCACGTGCCGGACTTGCTGACGAGACCAGACAATATTACCCTGCATTTGCCCCACGTTGATGTGCACCATGGTCGGCTTGGCGCCTGCTTGTGCTTGGCATGTTTGGTGGACGGTCGCATCCTGGCAAAAATTGCGTCCTTGATGCTTCCTCACCACAGACGCTTCCTTAGGATCCCCAGGATAGGCAGGGTATCCAGCGTCTGCGGCAGTATGCTGAGACTGGTCGGCTGTCGTCCCTCTCGCCGCGGCTCAGCAACATCCGACCGAATCTGCCCGCGCGCCGCGCTCAGGTAGGATCATTGTCAATGGCTACCGCGTTGTCATGTCATGTTATATGCTTTGCACATCAAGTCGGAACGAACCTTTCAGTTGGTGTCCCATTCCAGCAGCGAATTTGCTGGCGCACAATTTGGGGCACGTGTCGTGTCGTGATTAGTTGAAATCGGCTTGCAAGCGATGTGTAAAGTGGCATTGAGCGGCATGTTGAAGTTTGCACAGGCCTTCTGAGACGTTCACCTTTCCGTTGTTTCAACAGGCCTCGGCGTCCACCAGCGGAGCCGCCTATGACGCCGGCCCCGCCCAGCCGTGAGCCGTCCGGCCGTGATCTGCCCGGCCGCGACCTGCCCGGCCGCGACCTGCCCGGTCGTGACCCGCCCGACTGTGGTCCGTCCGGCCGTGACCTGCCCGGCCTTGACCTGCTCGGCCGTAACGCGCCCGGCCGTGACCTGCCCGTTCCGTGACCCTCCCAGCCGCGACGCCGGCCCGTCCATCCGCGACGCCGGCCCGTTCGGCCGAGACGCCGGCCCGTCCAGCCGCGACGCCGGCCCGTTCGGCCGAGACGCCGGCCCGTCCAGCCGCGACGCCGGCCCGTCCAGCCGCGACACCGGCCCGTCCAGCCGAGACGCCGGTCCGTCCAGCCGCGACGCCGGCCCGTCCAGCCGCGACGCCGGCCCGTCCAGCCGCGACGCCGGCCCGTCCAGCCGCGACGCCGGCCCGTCCAGCCGCGACGCCGGCCCGTCCAGCCGCGACGCCGGCCCGTCCAGCCGCGACGCCGGCCCGTCCGGCCGCGACCGCGCCCGTCCAGCCGCGACGCCGGCCCGTCCAGCCGCGACGCCGGCCCGTCAGCCAGCGCGCCGGCCCGTCCAGCCGCGACACCGGCCCGTCCGGCCGCGAGCCGGCCCGTCCAGCCGCGACGCCGGCCCGTCCAGCCGCGACGCCGGCCCGTCCGGCCGCGACGCCGGCCCGTCCAGCCGCGACGCCGGTCCGTCCTGCCGCGATGCCGGCCCGTCCGGCCGCGACGCCGGCCCGTCCGGGCGAGACCCGTCCGCACGTGGCGCCAGCGCGTCCGCACCGGAAGCTGGTACAAGCAGTGCCGGACCCGCGATCTCCCTGTCTCCGGGGGCCAGGAGTCAGACTTCCAACCTGCCCTATGGCTGGGCCGACTATCTGTCGCCATGGGAACAGCAGTGGATAGGTGGACTGTTTCCGGCCCGTCAAGTGTGGCCGCGGTCGCACCGAGCTCAAGGAGATCACCGAGCTCTGGTGCCGTCCACCAGCCCCACCATTGGTGGCAAACAACGCGCCTGCCGGACCGGGACGTTACTTTCGGTATCCCGCTGTTCCTGTGGTTGCCACACCGACTATGGAAAGTGCTCCTGGCCTGCCCCGAGTGCGGGAGCCATCTTAAGGGCGCTGGCCTGCACAGCGCCTGCGGAAGGTGCTGGACCTGCGGGCCGGCTACTGGCTGGCAACTGAAGTTTTATCCTGCCCCAGCTGCCGGCCCATCAAGGTCTACACGGCCTGGGACGAACGGCTGATCAGACAGCTGGATGTCGCGCATCAGCTGCAATTTCCAGCGGTCTTGACGTATAAGTAAGCACCAGCACACTGGTACCAGGAATGTTCTCAAACGTCAACGCACGTGCATACGTACGCATGCAAGCACTCTCACATGCATATAATTTTACTGCTTATCGTTAATCGTCTCTGTTGTACAGCGTTGAAATACGTCGGATCCGAGTATCCCATATTAGGTAAAGAGCTCGGGCACATGAAGTAATATCTATATCATGCCGTCTAGATACGAGATGATATTACGTTCCTGGAGACGGCGCTAAAGGCGGCAAGCATGCACTTTATTTCCCAGCGAAGTGAGAGGGAGCTCATGGCAATATCTGTACAAAGCCAACTGTAGTTCTCTGTCTGCTGTCAATGAACCGAACTGATAATACGTTAATAATAAGTTTTGGCGTATTTTCCAGGCTGACCTGCGACAAGGCTGTCGTCCGGCTGCTCCGCGAGCGGACGCTGGGCAACAGCCCCACCCAGCTGATGAAGCAGGTGGCGGAGCAGGTCAGCGAGGACCATCTGAGCCGCATGTTGCTCTACATGAGCGACTGCAGCATGCGATCCGCGGCATTCGAGGCCTGGCAGCGACCGTTCCCGCCGCCGCCGCCGGCCCCGGTGATGCCCAGCACCCGCTGGCTCATGCGGGTTTACCTGCAGGATGTCCTGCCGCGCATCAACGAGTACCTGGCCAGCATCACCAGCGTGTTTGGCCAGGTCCTCAAGATCGATTCCACCCGGAAGGTACGCTTGTCTTGCATCTAGCGTTGAAATCATATGTAAACCGCGCACCTTAGCCGCGCACCAATCATATGTAAACCGACCTTAGCAGTCTGTCCAGACGACATAGATATCCTGCCGTGTCCACCTGCCAAATACGCCTGGCTTCATTTCCTTTGCTTTGATATCATTTACGTGATGATATCCCGCATGTTTGCGTCACCCGTCGCATTCCATACCGCGCATGTCGTCTGACTGGCCATGTACGATTTGTGGCATGACCCTTAAACGGGTCCTTGACAATCAACCTAATAGCCGCTTGAATGGCTTGAAAGCCTGCTAAGGCCTTTTATGCTCTGGACTTCTAGCCCAATGAAGGCTGCTAGACAACACCACGCCTGCCTGTAGGACGGACCCTTCTGTACTTCTTCTTAAAATGTTCAATTTGTTTGCAGGTGGCCAAGAAGCTGGCTGGTATCGGCGCTGGCACCGCACGTTGGGCCACCAATGTGACCAACGAGCACGGCCTGGTCCTGAACAGCGTGCTAACGGCCACGGAAGGCGGCGGGCTGGACCAGCTCGGCAGCGGCATTGTCGCCCGCTTACCGGCAGGCAGGGGTGCCCAGCCTCTGGCGCTCTACGTGGACCGGGACTGCTGTGCGCCGTCCCCCGGCTCCAGCTGCCCGGCGCTGCGGGTGTTCCCCGGCTGGGAGGATGTGCCAGTGCGCCTGGATGCCTGGCACTTTATGCGTCGCCCTGGCAGCCGGGGTCACCACCGACGCCCACCAGCTGTACGGAGTGCTGATGAGCCGGTTGTCGGCGGCCATCTCGAGACGGACCCGGAGGACCTGACGGCGCTCTATGACGCCAAGCGGCAACAGCTGGCCCGCAAGGGGATGGCCATTGTCACCGACGCGGTGCTGGCCCGCGAAATCTCCAAGCGGGAGTTCCAACTTCACTGCCGACGCCAGACTCGAGGCACCGAGATCACCACCCGGTGCATTGATGAGTTACTGCGCCTGCTCTCCGGACCCTGCAGGCGTCGACAGCCTGGGCGTGCCGCTGCTGGACCAGTCCCGGATCTGGCCCATCTGGGAGCAGCAGAAGCGCCACGTCGCCTGCCTCCAGGACGTATCCGGTGTTCCACTGCCACCGAGTCACCGGGACGCTGGTGAAAGGCGGCGTGACCCTCCGCTGCTACCGGTCAGCACGCGGCACGACCTCGACGGAGAGCTTCCACAACCACCTCGCCCGTTTTATCCCAGGTATATACGACCCTTATTGCCAGGAGCGACAGTTGCATGCTGAGTGAGCTAAGCTCGCAACATGTCATTTGACTGGAGCGGTCATCGCACTCTGCGCCATGGTAATATTGTTAGCGTTCACTTGGCACAATGAATGGAGCATGCCTGTGACATACAGTTTGCAATGCCTGTGACAAACAGTTTGCAATGCCTGTGACAAACAGTTTGCAATGCCTGTGACAAACAGTTTGCAAATGCCTGTGACAAACAGTTTGCAATGCCTGTGACAAACGATCGTGTACCGTTGGCCCCTGTGGGTGCAAGCAGACCACTACGTACAGCCCAAGTATCTAATGTTGTAATTGTCCGTGACCTTGCCAGGGACGGACTGCTTAGTGACCTGCACTACCAAGCGTTCCTGGTGGAGGGCCTGGTCCGTTGGAACGCGGACCGGTATGCGGCGGCGTCGGACCAGGCTCCCGACCACCTACGCTGCTACGACGGCCGCATCAGAACTGCGGCCGCGACCTGTACCGTCGGGTGTTCCGAAGGACCTGTTCCCCCGGCGGGATGAAGTTCCTTGCAGTACACTGGTAAGTGACCAGCACAGACCATCGCGATGTTTAAGTTCCAGCAACTGTTGTACGGGAAAATTGTGATCAAAGTTGAGAATAGCAACCAATCCAGGGCTAATTTGCTAGCAGTTTGCTGAACGTTTAATTCATTGACATGCACAAAGCGCGGTAATAAGTAAAGCCTCTTCCATATGTAAGGGTCAAATTAATGATTTCATACAGTATTAATCGCTCAGCCATCGGAATCGAGTTTCACATCAATTAGAATATCAAGCAGTTCATGATGCGCCGTAACTCGTGTGATGTATGCATTGGGTGATGGGAGAATATTCCTTGATCTTTAAAGGATGAAAAAATGCGACGCGCTGGCCACGCTAGCCTGTTGTTGGTTATCAGTTTATACAGCGCAAATCAGAGTGCCAGGTTTGTTATTTCGCTCTATGAAACTAGGCTCTGGTCACGACATCGACGAACCCGTAAAACGCGGGTGCCGACCCGGCTAGTCGCCGACCCAACAGCCAGCTAGCCGCGGCTGACCTTGGTGATGACCGTCGACAGGCGAGCTCGTCCGGGGTGGCGTACCTTTACGCCCAGACCGGCAAGCGCCTAGACGCCTACCACTCCACGGACCCGGACCAGCAGGCCGAGGAGGACGTGGAAGGTGACGCCGAGGATGACGACACCGAGGATGAGGGGTTCGAGGATGTGGAGCTGGACCCGACCATAGCGGTCATGCCCGATGCACTGGGCATCTCTACGTTGGTGTGTTCGCCACCGGCATGGGTAAGTGCTCATGCCATAAGAGCTCTGTCTCGGCTCTGAGATGCGATGTGTTGTGCGGCGGTCGCGGCGAGCCGGGCCAAATCGAGCCCATGAGAGCCGCTACGC